GAAATATGCCTGCTTCATAATCATACACTTTGATGACTGTTTGAAGATCGTCTTTATATCAAAACATTGATCTAGACGCTTTTCCCTGTATGTGAAAGGCGCTGGCATGGACTCGCGGATTCACCGTACAGTCGATGTCTTTGAATAATTCATCCCGAGATGCCACAAGACGGCCGGCCTCTGCTGCAATTGCTGAGACGCAGGATGGGAAATGATGACACTCAAATGAAGCCCTGTTATAAATACACATTTCAATATTACCCTCCTCCTGTAATCCAGTCAAGTACCACACAGCAACTACGGATAGTTACTAAAATTTAACAGAACATTATCCAAATAGTTAGCCAATTAGCCTGTTAGATCCTGGGTATTTAATTAGATATTAGCTTATACTTTCAAACTGCTACCTAGCATTAATGAGTGTCCTGGCCAAATTTTTGGGACGTAGATAGAACATATTTTTGTCGTCTATTTTTAGGTATTTTTCAAAGCCTGTAAGAAATGCCGTAGTATTTTATACATTTCTTTGTGTGTGTGTGTTTTCAGTGTGAGGGTGTTCTTTCTATAAAGCATTCGTCAGTGTTCAAAGCGAATTGCTTTTAAGAAGTGAGGCTCTGAGATGGAGGCTTCTTTTCAGAGCCATGGTGGCTTATAAAGCTACTTATCAAAGAACAGAAGAAGTGACTGTGGAAGCAGCAACATAGTCGGAATAATAAAAAAAAAAGAAACAGAAGACCAAAGTATATACACATCATACTATGGTTCCTTTTTCTTTTAAAAAAAAAAACAAAAACTGTTGCTTGTTATTAGGGCTGGTGCAAGAAACGGAATTGTAAAAAAAACTGTTGTATTTGCTTAACCATATGCAGAAAAAGATAGGCCTTAAAATAAAAACAAAAAATATGCCGACATCTGTGAATAAAACTGGAAAAAAACAGCATAATAAAATCACAATGTAACATAATATTTCATCTGACAAGAATAATGAACATTCAATAAAGTCCCTAACCGCGTTAGGGAGCGTGCAGAACATTGGGTGTCCATTGTTAACAACCCGCCTCCCTTCTCAGGTTACTGGAGCCGACTCGCCCGTCGCCTACCTCACAATGGATATCTGAGCCGCGTGCTCTGTAGCTCTCTATCGATCGCCCACCCCACCCCCTTCGTTAATGTACTTAGTTGCGAAACATCATACTGTACAGCCTAACTTTGTTAGGCCAAAAAAAAAAAAATCCATTAGCGGGTCTCATAAAATGATCAAGGAATACATCATTTCTGCTTATCAAGTCAGATTTAAGGAGAAAAAAAAGTATAGTGGAACAAATAGTTTTAACGCCTTATACAGGTCAATACTCGTTACTAAAATAAAGGGCAACTTTGGATAAAACCAGTACCTTACAGTACACAGATAGCATGAGTTAATTTATATTTTCCATACTCATGATTCATTTCACGCCTTATTTACAGGGATCATGAAGTAGCCATGTCTGAATGCACACCCTACGCCAGGACCCCCCCCCCGGGGCGGCTTGGAGAACGCAGGCTGCCTTGAGTTGCCCTTTTCACATTCGATACAGTTAGTCCTGGGGGGGGGGGGGGGGGGGGGGGGAGGGGGGGTGCGGAGAACATCTGCGAAGCGCCATTGCACCATCCAACTGCCGATCATTAAACTGTGACTCCAGAGAGCAGCGAAAGCATGAGCCAAACTCGCCCTTAAGTGTGGTTAAAGTCCAGCTCCGCATCCCGGTGTAAAGGAGCGGGATGGGGCTGAGGGGTACAGCTGCAGGCAGGGTCCAATCTGTCTCCACGTGCTATGAAGGGTCCCTATTAATGCCTATCGTCCTCTCCCTCAAAGGGTGTAGACCAATTTACAGCAATTACACAAGTATCATAAAAGCTACACACATTCAAACAAGTGCTGTGGAAGTCCACCTGCATCCAGGTGCATAGGGTGTAAGTTAGCACCTTGCCTGTGGCAGACTCATATGATCTTAAATGTGCCGAGCACTGGGATTCTGGGAAGACTGCTCTGTAGGGCTCGGCAAACTAAGCAGACGGGTATCCCTCCTCTCCAGGGAGCACTTACTCACTTCAAGGGAGCAGAGCTAGATGATGCGACCCCACTGAATGTAAGGCTCATTGACCAAATTCTACTTTGCCGGAATGGGAAAAAAAAATAAAAAAAAGACACAGGCTGCCCACCAAGGGCCGGCTGGGCAAAGCGAGATGTCGGAGGCAGGGTAGCATAGATCCGGAGAGATTTCTGAGGATCTAACCACCGCCGGTAGCTACTACCATTGTTCTGTGTTCTTTGACAGTTTAGGTACACATGGGAGAACAGTAGTCCTGACTTCAAAAGTCAATTCTGCAGCAGACGACAAAAGATCGCTGGCAACCTCGTTTACCTGGTGTCAACACATCAAAACACATTACCAGACACTCAAGATTCTAAAAAGCAAAACTGTGTGTTAATGCATTTTAATCTCTTTTAATGCAATGCCAGCACGATCATTTATGTGTTAAAAGCGCAAATCATTAAATCTAGACCCATTACTGGCCGCCAAGAGTCTGTCACGATGTACTAGCGACATGTGGTCATAGACTTGCTGCTCGCAAGAGAGAGGTCAGTTCTTAAGAGGAACTCAATGCAAGAATGCAGGACAACAGAACTTCAGGATCTTGTGTTTAGTCATCAGAAATCAGTTTTACATTAATGTCCAAGAAACTCACAAACAGTTAAGGTCAACTCTGAAGAAAATTTTCCCTGACTAACACCCAACTAAAAAAAAATGTACTCTGGAAAAATACCCCTGCTGTCAACATCGTATTCTGAAGACTGTTCTCCTCTGTGGCGCCAGACTGGGTGTGTACTACCTTCATTAGCAGCACTTTGGATAGGAATATACTCATTTAATACCATTTCCCTGAGGCTGAATAACACCCTTGGTCTCGTTTCCTTCGACACATGGAATTATAGCAAGTTTACCTCAATAACAACACTTTTGATGGATGAAAATGACCATTATGTTAAGGTTCTTCGAAAACATTACTCACCCAGATAATGGCATTGGCTAGATCCAATGCTTCAAAATAATAATAATAAAAAATCTTCAAATCAAAAACTGAATTTAATTGCAGCCATTTCTGGCGGGATTAATGGGTCACTCAGAGGTAGAGACTTGAATCGATGCATTCACTTTTTGTCTTTGACCATCATTGATCCTGCCTGATTCATGTATGCAGTTTTTCCCTTGTAGCAACCAAACTCTCTTTCAAAACCAAGAGTCACACACACACACACACATATATACATACATACATACACACACACACACACACACACACAGTGGTACCTTGGTTCTCGAACTCACTAGAACTTGAATTTCTTGGAGTTGAACAAACCAGTTTGACCTAGAAATCGATCTGAATATCAGAAGTCGAACCGTGAACACTGACCGAATATAAATTGTATGCGCCAGGAAATGAGTCATACTACAATGCAATTCTTACTTGAATGCCTTCTTCACAGACTGGACGATTAACCAAATAAAGCAGCGCAACATTGCAGTAACTAACAATAAATAAACCACTAACTTACGTGTACTGTTAGAGCATTTATGTCATTTATTTNTAAACCACTAACTTACGTGTACTGTTAGAGCATTTATGTCATTTATTTAAACTTTATTTTACCAGGTAAATTAACTGAAAACCAGTTCTCACTGCTTTACGTGATATTCGGGAGAAATAGCAGATTACGCATCGGAACTGCTTGGGATACAAACGTCATGCGTGTAACTAAACTCTTCGGCCAATAAGGACAAAGGTGTGTAGTCACGGAGGCGGTTCCAGTTTGTGCAGCCGGGTGAGAGGTCGCAATCCATCTAACCGTAATGCATTGCGTCAGGATCAGAATGCATTGCTTTAAGCCAGCGCTGTAAGCAAGTCGAACGCACCCAATGACCTGACTGGGGAAACAAACTGAAACGCCGACTTAATACAGAGGACTAATGACAACAACCAGAAACAGCTGATCACATAGGGATCCCACACGAGGTTAACGAGGGGGCGTGGCACACGGAAGGAGCAGGACAGGGGTAATGTTGGGATAAGATCTTTATCGTTTTGGAAGCCATTAAGAAAAAAAATGCTCTTCTTGTTTTATCCTGCTCATTTTGTGTTTAAATGCTTAAAAAAACAAAACAAATTTAGGTGTAATTTTGGGGGGCCGGGAACCAATTAACTGGTTTTCCATTATTTCTTATGGGAAAAATTCGATGAGAACTCGAACTTTTTAGGATTCGATCCGATGTCCGGAACGGATTGAGTTCGAGAACCGAGGTACCACTGTATTTATATATATTAACGTGACTAAAACTTTTCAAATAATGTGGAGAACTGCAGCAGTTTGCAGAACTATTAAGTTTCCTTTCCTGCATCCTACACCAGAAACTCTGCCTATCAATCAAAAGTCAGATACAAATTGATGCCTTTGTACAAAACTAGTGCAAACCATTGTTTTTAATTACCTTCACCAAAACAGTAATTAAGAGCCTTTGCATAGAAGACTAATTAAAAGAAGAAAGCAAGTGGATGAAACGGTCATTAGGTAAAAGGGACATTATTTGTCCACAGCTTCGAGAATAACACTCTCCGTCTTAAGTTTTCGCTTGCTATCGACTACCATTGAGGAATAAGGTCGCTTCTCAAACATCTGCTGGACAAAAGGTGAAAGTAGGCAGCCGAGGCAATCTCTGGCCAATAAGACGGCGAAAATCTCCGAGCTCTACTGTAATAAAGTTGCAGAGGAAATAAAAAGGTGGAGAAAGTATAAAGGGAACTTCTACAAGGAGAAAGACTGGGAAATTGCTTCGCCCACTGGCGGGCCTCCCTCGGCGGCTCCCATTTGAAGAGTGTCGCGCGACGAATCCGCGGCAAATTAGCTACGATTATTAAACATCCGTCGCGCTCGCGCCGATGCTAACGCGCCAAACGGTAATCTGGCAGAGCTCGCGGCGGGCGGGCGGCGCGAGGGACAGGAGGCGTCAAGCCATACACTCCCAGAAATCCCGCGCCCTTAGAACGCACCGGTAATGTAATAATGCGACCGCGTAACCTGCTTTAAATATATCACAAGGCTTTCACTCCTACTAAAACAAACAGCCAGAAATGGGGCACTTTTATGTAGATTCCTTGAATAAAAATGGAAGAAATAGAAGTAGAACGAAAAGATGCTACTTCAACCGAGTTCTCAACTGATTATTTTCTCCTATAACCTAAAGCCACGGCATGATCAAGCATAACGAAGGTCCACGCGAGCGTTACAAAACATCTCTCTATAAAACAAGAGAAAAAAATGTGTAAGAAAAAGAAGAATCTGTGAACTTGGACGGTACTCAGCGTGAAAGACACTCTTAAGCACTACGGCAGGAGCCTGACACAGACGGATCTTTTTTCAAAGCTAAAGATTTTTCATTGCCGGGGTTTAGCTGTCATTCCAGTATTGATCTAGAGAGAGACAGAAGGTGTTACTCAGCACTAATGCCACCGCGCAGTCAAATGTGCAGCTGAGTAAAGGGGGGGATGGAAAACAAAAGCACCACTGGGGCTTAGAAATATACGCATGCTACGTGTCTCCGTGCAATACAGCTGTTTGTTTCTCTTATATAAGATATAAGCTATTTACCTTATAGTGTTCGTCAATGTTAATGCATTTCTGACAGGAAAATAGCTAATCAACTGCAGCCCTAATATATAAGCCTAACCTACGTACGTAACATATATGCACTGCGTTAACTCCACGCAAATAGGGTTAATAAATATGAATGGCTCCCATTTGAACTTCACTTTTACACTTATTTAAGCACAGAGGTGGCAGTGTCTACATTTATTCATGGGGAAGGAGAATCGTAGTTTATTGGTGTGAAAGTAAGTTGGCAGACCTGGGGAAGATCTAAGAAGCTGGATATTAAATTGAGATTATAGTTCCCTCTGATCTGCCAGTGTATTGAAGTTTCTCTTTTCATGCACCTATAGGGCTGAGTGGGGCAGACTTTGCTCCTTCTACATTTCAAGACCCCCCCCCCCCCCTCCCCCAACCCCGACGTTGTTTTGCACCATTTTTTCAGAACTGACAGTCTGCAGCACAAACAGACACGAGAGGTACGGATTGATGTAATAGACTGCGGCAGACCACTGGTCACCGGCCAGCCTAATGAGCAGAGATAAGAAAACTATTTGCAATAAAAGCACAAGGCCGCGGACGTGGTGGCAGGGAGCGCTGACGCGTGCGCAGTGGCGCTTGTGCAGTGGCGCCTGCGTGGGCTGCGGCCCGGGAGGAGACCTGCTGAGTGGCCAGAGATGTGGAGGAAATGAGGCATTGAGGGCAGAGGATCAGAACCATTGCAGAGGACTCCTTCACACATCGGGAAATGACCGGAAAGCACTCCAATCCCCATAGAGGTCCACGCACAGCAAGATTCCTTGAAGGTCTTAATCGGCCGGTTCGGGCCAACTTTCACGCGAGCGGATGTGTCGGTCCTGTTGCCAGGGAGCGTACGGAGTGGAGGACAGAGGAAATAAATCCACTCGTTGTGTCTGCTCATGCACCCGTGGAAAATAAATAAATACGTATCGGCATCACAGCAGGGGCTCAGCCTTCAATGCTCGGTATCTGTAAAGTGATATCAAAGGCGAAGAGTGATTCACGCGCACGATAACAGAATCCAAATCTGATCACAATTGTAAAAAAAAAATAATAAACGGCCACCTTTCATTATGTGGACGGGCGGATAATTATCAATGCAGCCGAATAACGATTAACTCGGAGAGCGCTGCATTTGCGTGTTCTCTGTTCGCCCAATTAAAAGCTAATTAATTAGATACAATTCTATTACGGAACAAATCCCACTCATCAATACACTCAGCCCAAGGTCGTCCGTTGCTCAAACGTAAATTGACTTCAAGGATCCCGCCAGACCCGGGGACATGACGGTGGCATCGCAAGTTTAAGAAATGGAAGCGGAAGGCTCTCAGGTGACGACACAGATTACCGACAGGCAGAAGGGGATATGGCTGAAGGCATTGATCTGTAGCAAAGAATGAATATTAACAACAACAACAAAAAAAAAACACTTCTATTTGATGATGGCTGTCAATTCCACCGCCCACCAATAACTGTTGACTTTAATCAGTAGACAAGTAGACCATAACAAGCTTTGTTAACTGTGTGTGGCAGAACTAGCTATGCAAATAACTGGTTATATAGTTCAACTTCACAACCACTTCACAAAAACAGATTAAAAACCGTGATTCCTAAAACATAATATAGACGTTTAAATTTGGCACCAAAGTGAACTGGCAAATGGGCAGCCCCCCCCCCCCCAACTCCAATTAAGGTTTAATTGTGTTTAATTATTGTTTAATCATCCTATTCAAAGGAAGGTGACTTGAACAAATATGTGCTACACGAAATCAATGTGGTTCGATGAAGTCCATTACTTTTTTTAAATTATTTGGATTATCAATTGAATTTAATTAACGCAAAACCCATGATTAGCACCATCAATTCTGTTTACAAAAAGGTGTGAATAAACTCATGGATCCTAAACTGGAACTGCAACCTGGATACAAAACAGAAAATCCTTGGCTTGGCATCTGCCCAAGGGGTGTTTCCATTGCTAAATGTCTAGAAAATCCCAGTTACAGGTCTTTCAGTACGGAAACTGCACTGAATATTGCGTCACGTTCATTTAAACACACGGTAAATCTTCACTGAGCCCACCCCAATGCTGCTCTGGCTTGCTGGAAAATGGGAATTCTCTTTCTGTTTGTGGGGTGGGAGAGAGGAATGAAATGTCCAACTCAGGGAGGAAAAACTGCTTTCACTCTGCAGATAAAAATGGCCTGGTGTTGTTTACAGTATAGATGCTGTAGGAAGCATTGTGTTATGGGACTAGGAGGCAAACAACCAACAACGAATGCACTGGAAGCATTGGGTAACAAATGAGGGCCTTTTTGGTTAGAACAAAATAGCACAGTTATGGCAGCAATTATCAGTCAGCTACTGTTTCAATTGTAATTCCATTAAACATCTACATCATGGAAGCGTCAAAATACCCTAGCATACATTGCTAAATGGATACCGCTTTTGCCCCCCCAAAGGAAGCATGATCGCAAGTACTTAACACAAGGGAAATCTGCTTTCACAACGACAGCTACGACTTAAAATGATTAACTGGCGACAGCAAGTCAAGAAAAAAAACTAAAAAAAAAAAAAACTTATGTTACCGCCGCAAGCTGCCGTTTAAGGAGGAAGTGTCATGTTAACGCTTCTGGCACTTCTGGAAACACTAAAACACATTTTTGAACATGGGACAGATGAAATAAGAGGAAGAGATTACCGGAATCACTTAACCCAATAAACCACACATGACACGTCTATAGAGCACAGTTATAAAAACGGCATGCTTGTACATGAACAGGAAAAGTATATTGTTGAATCGGAATATCAAGATTTCAGTAAAAACTTTTGGATTTTTTAACCATGGCTTAGCACTTTCTGGTTTCTTCATGAGTTACACATGAAAAGGTTTTATTTAGCTTGCCAATCACTGCAATTTTTGCAACCTTTCCTGCCTTTTCTGAGTGAGTACAAAGAAATCCTTCCTTTTTCTTGCAGAATGGGTGTTACCCAGGTGTCCAGTCATCTGTCACCAGTTTGCATACAGACGGTGACACTTCTGCTCAGTGGCAAGTTACTGTCACTGGGTGGCCAGCAGCCGAGGTCCGCTGGGTACAGCCTGGGTCCCCCCCCCCCTGCACAGGTAGCCCATGGGAAGGCCATTAGGACTGCCGCTGACAGACTGACAGCCGTGCACAGTCTGCTGGGGGCACAATGTTCCAACCCCCCCATATCACTCATGAAAACGCCTCTTCCCAAGGTAGAGGTTTTTCCAGATACACCCCCGACTTACTCCACACGTCTGACTCGCGTTACTCTGATATTGAACCTCAACAGAAACTTACCACTTAGAAGTTGGGGAAAAAAGAAATTACATTTTTGCAAACCTGCTATTTTTGTAATGAAAATATAATGTGTTTCAAGGGTACCACAGCAGCAAAATGCAGAATGAGCTTAAAATTGATATTTTATGTTTCTTACAATTAATTACAGTTTTTGAGACATTGAGAGCAGATCTTTTGAATAATAAGCAATGAAAACATATATTAAGATTCTGAAAAAGTGGGTCGGCTGCCTTTTAACGGACTGCGGCAGCCACGTCTCATGACGACGTTACATTATTGATAAACCTTTCCTTTTTGCAAATTAGCAGGTCTGTCATGCACTAAGGGGTCAGGAGGTATACTCCGCGTATGGCAATGAACTCGGAACTTTCCAGAAAAGTCCGCCACTGATGCCACCCTCCACCTTGATGTCTGCTTGTCAGCCTTCAGGAACTGAATTTAAGACCTCCCTCCCCAACTTAAAAAAAAAAAGATTTGAAAGTGAAATTAAACCAAATGGATTTACAAAATGCATCATTAATGAATAGGAACTCTCCTCGGAGTGGCTCACTCACTCCAGCAGGTCCAATTCCGCTTTGCTTGGTTTCATGTTGCATCGGAGGACAAGATCGATGCCATTTGTCTAACACACAGGAGGAATGGAATCTATTCGCCGCTTTTATTGAGTAATTAAACACCCATTACTGTCCCAGGCAGCAAAACAATAAATTTGATAAGTCATTCAGAGGGAAATACTGTGGCGGTCAGTCACTATTCCCAGGCTGCTTGAAATAAAAAAAGAAGAAGGAAAAAAAAAACTTCAATGACATTATGCAAAGCAAAATGTAATATAAAGAGAGGTCATTAAAGGTTTTAAGGTCCCCAGGTAGCCAGTGCTTTATATTTTTATGTAACCGTTTTAGGCCTTTTTTGCAGTTTATATAGTTAAAGGTTTGCCACTTTCGAAAGCCTAAACTGTATCCCAAATAATGTAACCCAGTTCCCTTTCTACACTTCACATTTTTTACACACAGGTACACACATGCACATGCATATATAATTTTCTGTAGCAAGCCAGAACCTTTGGGAAATATATATCTTAACTGCTTCAATACAGATCATTCCTCAGCTCAAGATGTACCTTTGAACTAATTAATGGGAGGGAAAAATCATACTTTCATCTGGCCTATTTCTACCTTACACATACTGCATATGCATTCTCAATTTAGATCTGGGGCTATATGGATTATCTATATACACGTGGTGCTCACAGTTCAATTTATTACGATACAATACTGCTGCCAATAAAATGTGCAAATGAGTACACTTGTGCATCTGACCCATTACCGTAAAAGTTTTTTCTCCCCCCCCCCCCCATCCATTAAGAGCCTAGTGGGGGCCCCCCCCCCCCCCCATGGAGACTCATGCAGTTTTCTGGATTTC